TACCTCAGTCTCCTGTGTAAGCTGAGTGTGATGTGAGCACTGTGTGAGAAGCATAGACAGACATGTTGGCGTCTATCCACAAGGTCAGAATTTATTGAATAACAGCAAATTCATAAGCTACATCGATTTCTTTTCAACAGAAAATTACATTTGTGTGTGTGTGTGTGTGTGTGTGTGTGTGTGTGTGTGTGTGTGTGTGTGTTTGGTTTAGGGGCTACAAGCAGTCCCAATTTCCCATGATACCTAGTCAATGGCAAACAGATTTTTCTTTATAACAACTTTAACTACTACCATTAACTCTCAGATCATGCTTTACACATCACACAGTAAGTGTATGTATGTACGTTACAAAATGGCTATAGAAAGCTGACAGAGCACAGCAGAGTTGGAAGGGCTGAAAAGGGGCTGGAGGCAGGCAGATATGATAAATATGATAGAGATGCAAAGAGAATCTGTTGGAGGTGCACCTAGAGGGGACCTCAGGGTCGAGTTGAGCTGCCCAGTGAGGAGGTGGACTACTGAAGCCACACAGGCTAACTAATGAGTCCAGAAGGACCAACAGGTGGACGAGCTGTCAGCTGCTTGGCAGCAGGAACTGAGACAAACTGAAGCCCAGGGAGAGTCTGGAGTTCTCCTCTTTCAGCCCTCCCCCTTTAACAACACATTAGTGTAAACATGTGTCTGTGATTCAGTGGGAGTGGTGCTTGAGGAGGTCAGAGGACAACTTTCTGGAGTCAGTTCTCCCCACATTTATGTGGGCCCCTGCCTGGGACACAATTCTTTTTGAATTCTAAGTTGTTCAGCAGTGAGTCTTGTGGGTGGTGCTGGGTGGATGGTGCTGTTTACATGCAGGACAAGTGCAAAGTCATCCTGCCTCCTCCTCTGAACACAAACTAAATGAAATGCAGCTTATAAAATGGATTCCTCCACAGCAAGGCATGGCCTGAAAGCTACTGTGTTTCATAATATGGAGTAATTTAGAGCAGGGCAGACTAGATCTCAACACTGGAACTACAGGCAGTGCCACTGTGCCAACGGTTTTGTTGTTGTTTGTTTTTGTTTTGAGAAAGGGTCTTGAGTAGCCCTGGCTGGCCTCAAACTTACTCTGGGCCATGAAGGTTTTGGTTGAGTGCCCAGTGCCCTGGTCAACTGTGAGAAGACATCCTGCCATCTTCTCCCTGCATGGTCCACTGAGGGCTGCAAATTCAGATGTCCTGTGGACCAGAAAATTGAGATCAATGAATAGTTTCAATAACGAGGGGAAGAAGACTGAAATGTCTTTTTCCTTTAGGATAAAATTCCGGGTCTTCTTAATACTGACACATTGTTACAGAACGCTCCGAAATGGCCTCTTTTATATACTCAGGGCAGGACAGCTTGTTGTGTTCTTGGTTTTTAAAAAAGATTTATTTTAGCTGGGTGGTGGTGGCACATGACTTTAATCCCAGCACTCAGGAGGCAGAGATAGGTAGATCTCTGAGTTCAAGGCCAGCTGGGTCTACAAAGCCAGTTCCATGATAGCCAAGGCAGTTACACAGAGAAATCCTGTCTCAAACAAATAAACAAAGAAAACAACAAAAGAAAAAATTATTTATTTGTGTGTGTGTGTGTGTGTGTGTGTGTGTCTGTGTGTCTGTGTGTCTGTGTGTCTGTATATATATGCAATCACCCACGAAGGCCAGAAGATGTTGACTCCCCTGGAACTGGAGTTATAGGCATTTGTGGGTCACCAGCCATGGGTGCTAAGAACTGAACTCCCATCATCTGAAGAGCAGCAGGTGCTTTTAACCACTGAACACATTTCTCCAGCCTTTAGCTTTGTTTTCTGAGACAAGGGCTCCCTAACCTACACTGGCCTCAAACTCACTGTGTAGCTGAGGCTGGTTGTGAACTTCTGATCTTCCTGCCTCTACCTCCAAGTGCTGTGTGCCACCTTGTCTGGCTCTGGCAGGTCAATTTAAATCTCAAGCCTTTAGATGGGCATTGAGGGCAATGATTCCTAAAAGTGGGTGTTCCTCAGATTTTCCCAGGAAGGTTTGTTCCGTGGCTTCTTCCTGGGTCCCACAACCCTGGCCAGGGGTGGCTCTCTGCTCTGTTGGTGGGATGAGCTCCTCTTCTAACCAGACACCACACAGGGCTGGGACCACCCTTCCCTTTCCATGGACCACTCCCTGAACAGGGAGGATGAGAAGGGCAAGGCTAGTAAAAGCTTTGCTGTTTCAGAGTCACTCAGACCTGCTCCTGAGCCTGTCAGAACATCCCAGTGTCCTTCAGTAGAATGTAGGACCCATGTTAGGAATGGTCTCTGTGACTCAATGGCACAGGCAGGTACAGATGCCTGGAGACTACACTTTGGGCCTTCCAGCCCAAGGAAACCCTTAAGTTGGTGAGGGGAGCCCCAGGCAATTGGAGTGTGTGTGGTCTGCTTCTTGCACAGAGCATGTCTGAGCAGCAGGGCTGGGTGAATAAGTGTCTTTTCCCCTTCTAACAGGTCTTGTCTTGTCTCATTGACAGACTCTCTATACCAGTGAACTATGACCAAGAGAAGGGTCAGACAATATACCATCCAGAGAACTGCACCTATAGTGTGGTGGAAAAGGAGAACCCAGGAAAGTCCTGTGCTGTTGAATACTTGATAGTATCGTAAATGTGCTTCTAGTGGGCCCCGAAGTTGAGCAACATTTGAATATTTGTATGATTTAAATTTACCAGTTATAGGGCTGGGTGATGGTGGCCTATAATCCCAGCACTGAGAGGCAGAGGCAGGCGGATCTCATGCCAGCCTGGTCTCTAGAGGGAGACACAGAGAGACACTGTCTTGAAATACACAAATAAATAAATAAATTTGCCAATTATGTTTGTATTAACTTGATGCATGTTATAAAGCAAACAAACACTTAAAGGAGACAAAAAGAAAAGCAAGCATGTTAAAAAAAATCAACCTAACAACATCAGTTACTAATTACAGTATTTTCCCTGTGCTCAAATGAGTTTCATGCATGTGTGCTTTCCTCTGGGGCCGGTGTCCATTTCCACCACTTCTCCTATGTCAGGATCTTCTGATGTGTTCTGTTTCCAGTTTCTAATGAAACAAACCATGTGTGTTCACAACGAAACTGGTCTTCTTCTCTGCCCTTGGTACTCACGTTTATCCTTCCTTCCACTTACTCAGGCATGTCCTCTCTGCCATGTCCCCATATCCCTCTGTACTGCGAGAAGGTTAGAACAGGCTGGAGACAGCCTGAGAAGGTGGCCTCCAGACCTCATGCTGTCTGACAGGGAGTCAGATGCCAGACTTCTGTGGGTGGTGGAGACCAGCTCTAGGATTAGTTATGTGTGGCACACAGCCCACCTAAAATAGACTGACTTGAAAGTGTCACGACATTGATTCTGACATTTTTTCTCAACCCTTTGTAAAAAATTGTAGCATTTTTCCCCTAAGTTAAAACGCATCACTCACCATTTCTAAGTGTTCGTTAACTCAGTGTAGAAGTAGCTGAGAGTTCTACATCCAGATCCACGGGCAGCAGGAAAAAAGAGTAAGCCACTGCGTCTGGCTTGGGCTTCTGAAGCCTCCAAGTCCTCCCCCAATGACACACCTCCTCCAACAAAGCCCACCTACCCCAACAAGGACACACTCCTGTAGATGTAACCAACCTTCTTATCAAATAAGAAACACAGAACCAATGCAAAGAAGAAAGCCAAGAGGTCAGAGCTAAGAGCTAAAACCTTACCCTTCCTCCTGTGGTGGTCCTACCTCTCCGAACCAGAGCTACCCCTGTGTTAAAGTCTTTATATAGAGTTCCTGTTCTGCCTTCTCATTGGTTGTAAACCCAACCACATGACCGCCTCATCACTGCCTGTCAGTATAGACCTCCAGGTTTTCTATGATTGGTATTGAGATTAAAGGCATGTGTATCCAATACTGGCTGTATCCCTGAACACACAGAGACTTACCTAGCTCTGCCTACCAAGTGCTGGGATTACAAGCGTATGCCACCACTGCCCTGCTTTCCTATGGCTTGCTAATAGCTCTGACCCCTGGGCAACTTTATTAACATGCAAATAACATTTTAATATAAATAAAATATCACCATACACTCCTCCTAATCCTCCTAGGTAGTACCACTCTCTGATCCCTAAGCACTCAAATGTATGAACCTATGAGGGATACTCTTATTCAAACCACCACAAGCCCCAAAGGAAAAGATTTTACCTGAATGACTGTTTTGTCTGCACATATACATGTGTAGCATGTGCATGCCTGGTGCCCTTTGAGGTCAGAAGGCATTGGAACCTGGAACAGGAGTTATGGATGGTTGTGAGCCACCATATAGGTGCTGGGAACCAAAACTGGGCCCTCTGCAAGAGCAGTAAGTGCTTTTAACCTCTGAGACGTCTCTCCAGCCACCTACCATAAGGAAACGTATTAAACTCTAACTCTCCACTGACTTTGTCTCCAGCCTCTAGGCATCCTTTTTTTTTTTCTTTTCTGTCCTTAAGAATTTGACTGTCCTATTAGCAAGGGTAGAGTTGGGTAGGAGAAATAGTAGCTAGTATTCCACAGCACAGCAGAACAACTCTACTGATAATAATCATCTGATACCTCAGTCTCCCACATCTCTCAGACTCCCAGTAGTGGAGGCTGGCTTTGAACTTCCATCCTCACGCTTCTTCTCCCAAGTGCTGGGATTGCACCGGGGTGCTACCACACCCAGATTAACTATTTCAAAGATAGCTGATAGCATTTTCTATATTATCAATAAAAAGAAATGAGAAATATAGTAATTACCCACATCTGACACACACACTTTGTTTACATGCAGTGAAAGTTAACACTGTACTTCATAGACATGTACAATTACTATGTGTCAACTCAAAATGTTTTTTTAAAGAATTTGCCTTGATTTCCATGAGAAAGGAGTCATGCGATACATGGTCTTTCTGTGTCTTCTAACATGTATTCTTACATATGAATGTTACAGCGAAATAAAATCTACCTTGTGCGAGCATTTTGTGCAAGAGGCTCACTTGGCATATTTCTCCATCCAGCATTGCACATCTTCCAAATACTTAATTTACTTACAGATCGACATGAAAAGGACCCAGATTTGGGACAGGGAAAATTACCACTCTCCACTAGGCTTAAAGAGGCTTTGCGCAGGCGCGGAAGGAAATCTCGCGAAACTGTCAGAACACTAACTAGAGGCGTGGTAGGGAGGCCAAACTATCGCGAGAGCTCTGGGTTCGGGAGCCCGAGCCTTTGGTGGCTAGGTGTCTGGGTCGGTCCAAGGTCCCCTCGGCCCACCGGAAGAAGCGCTGCCAGCTGGTAAGGACGAGTGTGCCCGGCGGGGCGGGCGCGCTTCCTTCGCCTGCCCTTCGGCCCTCCTCGCCCCGGCCTGTGGCCTGTCCTGCCCTCCTTTCTGCCGACACACGCGGGGTCCCCGGCCACCATCCTGCCTGTCTGCGTGCCGGGCCCAGTCGCCTTCCCTTCCCCGTTCACGCCAGGCCCGGACTCCTCTCCCTCCCCCGCGACCCGGAGCTACCACCTCTCCCTTCTTCCCGAGCGCTGGGCCTGCCCTTTCTCCTCCCTCCTGTCGACATGCTCAGTCCCTGGGCCTCGATTGGCAGCCTGAAGCCTTGGAGAAGCTTCTCTCCATCCCTTTCCTACACTCTCCCGACTGCCCCTCCCTGGTTTTTCAGTCGTCACAGCCCTCTTTCTGTGGTTCTTGTCTGGGTCTCCCGCCCTATGTGAGCCTGTTTTCCATTATTGATCCAGAGCATATTTGCTCCTATTCCGAATGGTTTGGCAAGCTGGGATGTTGGAGGCTATGTCATGAACACGGTATTTTTAACATCCTAGTTAATTCTCCCAAGAGTCCTCCAAACAAGCTTTATTTCTCCCTTCTGATGAGAAGAGAGCTTACAGGGTCATTGATGCGTTGCTCAGGCACTCATTTATTCAATGCTGTATGCTCAAGGTGTCGAGGATACAGCAGTGTAAGAAATGGACGTGCTCCTGGCCCTGATGTAACTCAGTCCTTGTAGAGAAAATACCGTCTTAAGTGCTACAGGCTGGAACTTGGGAGGATGGATCGAGAATGACAAGGCAGAGGGCTGGAGTTACCTGACCCTCAGCGCACACAGCTTTCTTACTAGTGCTGTTTGCAGGGTACTGCTCACCATCACGGCTTCCTTCAGTGAGGGTGGTAGAAAGTAACACCCGCCTGAGAATTTGCAATATTGTTGTAGGGCTCTTGAGTTATTTCCCTGATGTGTGTGGGACAGGTAAGTCAGTTGGTTCTCTGTTGGGATCCCACTGTGGCATTTCTGAACTTGAAAGTACACCAGAATCTTGGAAAGAAATTCACCCTGGTCTGACAGCAGGAGGAGGTTTATTTCATTTGTACTGCTCACCAAGTTACTTGATTTGCTCTTTGGATTTTTTTGTTTGTTTAAGAAGAGGGTGTCAGATCTCCTTACACCTGGAGGTCCAAGCCATTGTAAGCCACCTGATGTGGGTCCTGAGACCTGAACTCTGGCCCCTTGGAAGAACAGCAAGTACTTTTAACCACTGAGCCATCTCTCCAGCCCTGTTTGTGTGGCTTGTTTGAGACAGGCTGCAGGAATCCTCCTGGCTCTGCTGGGATTACATAGGTGCATGGCACCACACCCAGGTGATAAGCTGTTTGGGAGGTAGGTTTGCTAGCTTGCAGAATTGTTCAGATGAGTGAGATGTGTAGCCTCTGGCACTATTTTTTTTTTTTTTTTTTTGGTTTTTCGAGACAGGGTTTCTCTGTGTAGCTTTGCGCCTTTCCTGGAACTCACTTGGTAGCCCAGGCTGGCCTCGAACTCACAGAGATCCGCCTGGCTCTGCCTCCCGAGTGCTGGGATTAAAGGCGTGCGCCACCACCGCCCGGCGCCTCTGGCACTATTAACAGTCCTTACATTTACTTCTCAGTTTTACCTCTTCCAATAAGTCTTTGTCTTTGAGTCTCTAGGAAAATAACCTAGACATTTAAAGTTTTGTAATGAAGGTTTTATCATGACTTAAGTCTAAGTCTCTCAAGTTATTCCTTTGAGGGAATATTTTCAAAAGTGGAAAAGTGGAGGTACAGAAAGGGGAGGTTGTACCTAATTTTAGAAGTACAAAGGACTTACTCCCTCTCTAGTTTGTTAAATCAGCGTAGACTGCTGGGAACCTCAGGGAATCTATATATGGGTTTTATAAACTCTGGGTATTCTGGCATATGTCCCTTCTTCATTTGAGAGTCTCCCGGCTAGCATTTAAATAATGCTTTGCCCATACAGTGTTAACTACTGGTAGGCTTTTAGAGACAGTCACTGTGCCTGCTAATTATCTTTTAACTGTGCTTAGTCAGAAATTTAGTGTTGTCAGTGAACAACCAGTGGCACAAAGTCTCCACTAGATGGCAGACTCACCATTGTATCCTCAGGGACAACACTACTTCCTGTCAGTTCAAGACCTCAAATACTTGAATGACTACATAAACCTTTAATGACCCCTTCAAAATACCTGGTGTGGCTGAGGGGTTTAGACTTAAGCTGGATCTTAGCCAAATGGCTAAGGAGCAGTCAGACTAAGACTTTCGGACTTGGGAGCTTGTGATGTAGGTATGGTATTTAACTCTGTCAAGTCAATGACAGTGGCCAAGTTGAGCACTTTTCTTCTGGGGAGAATCACCAGTAGTACTTTCTATGCTTGTCTGTCAGAGGAGCCGTTGTTTTCCTCTCCTCAGCTGGTCTTCTGTGATTGTTAAATCTAACACTTTGGGCATTGTTTGTAAGCTTACAGTCTATATACCACAGGTCCTGGCTTGTCATACATACTCGTGAATTCGATGAACTCACAGGCAAGTGAGCTAAATAATTGTTGTGTAGGTACTCTGTTGACTTATCTTCTGTCCAGCACGGATGACTCATCGTGTGCTCATTCTTACTTATTCCTGGCTTTGCTTGGCTTGATTGTACAGCAGAATCAAGATGTTTTTCTGGGGAACTAGGATTCTACTTGGGGCTTTTGAGTTTATAGTTCCTTCATTTGGCATTACCTTGATTGCCCTACGGAACTAGCAGTTTGGCGCAGTGTTGGTGGGTAGCTGACAAAATAGGGTAATGGGGTTTCTTTGTCGGTAAGTAACAGTCCTTTCATACGTGGACAATTACACCTTCCAGAATAATTCTCTAAATACATTTTGAGTTTTATCTTAGCTTTATTACTAGTCTCTCAGGCTTTAGAGAGGAAAAAATTCATCTCTTGTTTGCTTCTGTAGGGAAAACCCACACGATAGTTATCATATAAAACCAGAGATAAAATGCTTCCTTCTTTTCTTTTCAAGAATGGGTTTCTCTGTGGAACAGCTCTGGCTATCCTGGAATTCGCTTTGTAGACCAGGCTGGCCTGGGATTCACAGAGATCCATCTGGCCTAAAATGGTATTCTTACGTGGTACAGATAAGTACCTGTTTTCCTATCCTTGACTGTCTTGGGGCAAGAAGTTCAAGTTGAAGATAGGGTACAGCCCTAGGATCGAAAGCCTCCCTAGCTTTTGGGGATGTCACTTGGAATTTCTGTGGTACTGCAGAGCCTGAGGGGGGAAATGTTGAGTTGGCTGTAAATATAGTGCACATTTCACCTCACAGATCCATTGTTGTTTTGGGTCTTTGGAACTAAGATTTTTGGATCTGGCCTTTTTAAAAAAGTCTTTCTCAGCACTTCCCCTGGGATTATAGTTTCTGTGGTGACACCCTCACCAGTTCTGTTCTGTGTGAAAACAAAGAATTAAGTTAATCTGGGTGTTGTTGCCAGAGTTCTGGGAACCCAGGCAAGAGGTAGAATACCATGTTCAAGGCCAGCTTGAACTGCATGAGGCTGCCAGAAACCAAGGGCTAAGGTGTGGCTTAAAAGTGTTGGGCGGCGGCGGCACAAGCCTTTAATCCCAGCTCTCAGGGAGGCAGAGCCAGGTGGATCTCTGTGAGTTCGAGGCCAGCCTGGTCTACAGAGTGAGTTCCAGGAAAGGCGAAAAGCTACACAGAGAAACTCTGTCTTGAAAAACCAAAAAAAAAAAGTGTTGCTTAGCATTCACAAGACTGGGCATTGGACCCCCAGTGCTGGGAAAAAAAGAGAACAGTTCTGTTAGAAACATTATCCTCTTCTAAATTACTTTCCTAAATTAATACTACACTCCTTAATAGGACAACATCAAGTTGATTATGTTTATAACAAATTATTTTATTGTGGCTGCTCTGAACTTGATCATTAACATTATCCATCCATTAGTAAATATGTATTAAACTACTGGCAAGTTAAAGACAAGCATTGGTACAATGCTGTGGGCACCTTTCTCACTAGGCCAACTCTATCGAACATGCAGCATGTTCTTAATGCCAAGGTGCAGATGATACCAGATGTGTGTGTGTGCAGTGCTGGAGTGTTCAAAGCTGACAGAACCCTCAGGCTAACAAAGAAGGTCTAATAAGGGCATCAGGTATTTTTCCCCCCCAGACAGGGTTTCTCTGTGTAGCTTTGGAACCTTTCCTGGAACTCACTCTGTAGCCCAGGCTGGCCTCGAACTCACAGAGATCGGTCTGGCTCTGCCTCCTGAGTGCTGGGATTAAAGTCATGTGCCACCACCACCCAGCAGGGCATCAGGTATTAAAGCAGCAGTTCTCAACCTGTGGGTCATGACCCCTTTAGGGGGGGTGTTGAATGACCCTTTTACAGGGGTCACCTCAGACCACCGGAAAACACAGATATTTACATTATGATTCATAACAGTAGCAAAATTACAGTTATGAAGTAGCAATGAGAATAATTTTATGGTTGGGGGTCACTACAACATGAGGAAGTGTTAAAGGATCGCCTCTGTGTTAAAGGGTTTTCACACTGGAAACCTATGTAGATGTCAGTAGGCACAAGAAAGCGACATGACGGTTCTCTTGACTGGTAATATTGAAGAACGATGTATTTGTTTAGGAAAGGCTCTCTAGTGCTTGTGACTTGCACAGTAGACAGATAGAAGGGACTACCATTGCTGACAGAAAGAACTGGAGAACCAAGCTGGACAGGATAGAGTGAATGGGTGGAAAGGGGATTTTTAGTTCACT